GGATGGGGCAGGGAGAGCCCTGGCTCCCCGCTGGGCTCCTGAGCCCAGACACCAGCCTGGGGGCTCCCAAAATAGGGCCCTACCCAGGCAACGCTGGTACCCGGGGGGGATTTTGGGGTGGCCGGTGGAGCGGGCCTGGAGCAGGGGTCTGACCTTGACCATGCGGCTTCTCTGGCTGGCAGGAATTTTGCCCGTGGATCCTGTCGGTGGGGCCAGAGCTGCCGCTTCTCCCACGACATAAAGTCAACCCACGTCTGCGGGCACTTCCAGAGCGGGTTTTGCAGCTACGGAGAGCGGCGCGGGTAAGGAGCAGCGAGGAGGGGGCCTGATGCCGTGAGGGTGGGCTGGGAGGTGTCACGTTGGGCTGATGGGACCTTCTCTGTCTGTCCCCGGGCTCCTCCAGCTATGAGCATAGCCAAGAGGAGCCGGTGGGGTCCCATTACAGCCCCGTGCCCCTCGGCCACTGGGGCTCGGAGCCCGGCTGTGTGCCTGCAACAGTGGCCCGGGGCTGGAGGGGAGCCCAGCGCAGCTCGGCCTGCCCTGTCCCCGCTGTGACGCACCTTGCCTTCAAGTTCATGAGCATGGAGGTTGAGGAGGAAGAGAAAGACAAGGAGAGCGTCCCAGCACCTGATAACGTCCCCCGCAGGGCCATTGGCAGAAAATCTGTCCCTGCACGAGCTCGGCGTGCCTCAGGTAGGTCCTAGGCTGCCCAGGGGACCAGCGGGGCCGCGGATACTGGAGTGGTCCCGGTGGAGCATCCTGTGCGTGTGTGTGCCCTGGACCCAAATCCTTCTCTCTCCGTCTCTGGGCAGGGCCCACCTGGGAGCTCCTAGCAGCTTTTTTTTGGGTGGGGACCTTAACTGCTAAGCCTGGGCTCTCCCAGCAGCCAGCCTGCCTCTGTGACGATGGGGCGGGACGTGTTTTTCCCCTCTAAGAGCTCTCCTGCCTCCAGGCTCCCAACCACGAGGCTTGGGCCTGGATCCAAATTCCTCTGACCCCAGAGAGGCAGTGGTGGAGACAGCGACAGGGACTGACCCTACAGAGGTGGGCTTGGGGGGTGTCCTACGGCCAGGCCATCCCCAACACCCCGTGTTGGTCCCCTAGGCCAGGGCAGTGATGGAGCCAGGGGGCTGCTCTGCTTGCAGGTCCCCGTGGAGCCGGGCGCTGCAGCGGCCCTGGCCCCCACCGCGGCACTGAGGGCGCGGAGCGAGGCCGTGGTGTGCGGCATCTGCATGGAGCGGGTGTACGAGAAGGCGCTGGCGGGGGGGCGGCTCTTTGGGATCCTCCCAAACTGCAGCCACGCGTACTGCGTGGGCTGCATCCGCAAGTGGCGTCGCAGCCGGGACTTCCAGAGCACGGTCATCAAGTGAGTGGGGACGGGGACACGGCAGGGTGGTCACCGACACCCCTCGTGCCCCCTGAAACCCTTCTTTGGCTCTGGCTATGTGGCTTTGGGATCAGAGCGACTTTCCTTCGGGAACAGGCGCTGGGTGCTGTGATGGTGATAGGGATGCAGGATGAGGCGGCGGTGGTGGGATCACCCAGTATGGGTGCTGAGCTCCCTGCTGCCTTTTTTGGGACACCCACCTGCACCCCTTGCCTTCACCCAGGGCCTGCCCGGAGTGCCGGGTCACCTCCAGTTACTACATCCCCCACAAATACTGGGTGTCGGAGGTGGGCGAGAAGGAGAAGCTCATCGAAACCTTCAAGGCACGGATGGGGTGAGCGCGTGGCACCGCGGGCTGCAGGGCTGCGGGCTCCGTGCTGCGCCGGGAGCTGCGCTCGCAACTGTGCTTTGAACCCCGCAGGAAAATCCGGTGCAAGTTCTTTGTCCGGAATCGCGGCCGCTGCCCGTTCCAGTCCGACTGCCTCTACCTCCACGAGCTGCCCGCCGGCTGGCAGCCGC